GTAGCAAAGACCTACAAAAGACTTTGCTTGGCAAGTCCAAAGTTAATAGCTAATGACAGAAGGAATTCATGGACTAAAGGTAAATTATGTAATGTTTGCCATCTTCCAGGGACTCTTTTGAAAAACTGATTTCCCACCTTAAAATAATATGCTACAAATGAGGAGACAAAATACCACTGGAAATCACAATTTCTAGGGGCCAAAATAAGATAAATTTCCACAGATTATTTGTGAAACTCACAGGTAGGAGTCTGTTACTGGCAGGCAACTACATATTCATTTATAGTTGTTCTCCATATTATTTTATATAATTCTGACTCTGAAATGGAGATAAGGATTGAGATAGGAATGAATAGTTAAGAGTTGTATTCCAGAGCTCCTCCATTGCTACTGGGTTGTATGAATGTGATTTCAGAGGCTTGAGACTTTTCTTATTTAGATGCTGCCAATACAATGCTTATGTTTAAGGGAAGGGCACCAGTGAAGCTGCACACTTACCAGAGAAATTGGCCAAAGTCTGCAAACTGACAAAATATAAATATGAGGGTTTTTTCAGTATAGGGCCACGCTTGAGGCTTTGTCCTCACAGCTATTTTATCACTCTAGGTACAAGGGTTGACTAGCAGAATTTCATCCAAATTAAAAACATGTCTGTCCAATGGATAGCTTCAATGACTGTGACCTATCACAGTTCTGAACCTCTCTCTATCTCAAGATTTATTTTCGTATAGTACACACACATTATTTGCTTCTCAAATATTTTTATAATAGTTTTAATGCCTTACTGGATCCTTTACTAGGTAATGAAATAGATAAAATCCTTGAGATCTTCATTTCACCTTCGTTATGAGAGTTCTTTTAAACATTTTCAATATTATACTTTAACACTCTAGCATTTTTTTCATTGACTTTCAAAGCCATTCTAGAATCTAGAGAATTTAGCCATCGGATTTGATCCACTGGTAATCACATCTGCTTTCTTCACAACCAGAAACATTGTCTGACTAACTGTGTATCCTTCCTGTTTCCACAATCCTGCTACAGCCCTTCCCAGGTAAGTCACATGGTTAATTCTGGCTTTTCTTAGACCCTGGTGCCTGCTTAGCACTTTATAACTTTGTATCAAATTATTTGCCAATGTCAACTATACCTGAACTCCTAGGAAGCAGGCAAACAGAAAAACACCTTCAGTGAGTAAAATTTATTATTTTCTATCTTATCACTTTGAAAACAGAAATATATGTCCAAATGTGATATGGGATTTTATAGTGATAATAGACTGAGTTTAATAGGGAGAAAAATTACCCTGAATGCCCTATAAAGGATTAAAAATATAATATTACACAGAAATTACAACACCATTAAAGATTATTTTGCAAAAAGAAAAATTATGATGATAGAACACTGAAATATTTTTACACCAAGTTAAGTGCTAATTTTCTCTTTTTCCTGGTAATACAACACTTCACAAGTGTCAGCAAGTTTCTGAACCTGCATAGAAAGATGAATTCCTTTTAAAGGAAATCTTTTCTAACTGTGCTCAAATTTTTCTTCATTATTTTCATATCATTAAATGAAAACCATTACAAAGCAGAAAGGAACTTACCCAGTGATGGTCACCCATCACTAGAATATTACACAATTTGGATACTTCTCAGTCGTCCTGTCTTGAAACCTCACTGAAACCTTTCATAATCTCATTCTAGAAAATCGATAAAATACTGATATTAAATAAAATTCAATAAATACAATGAGAAAATGGATAGTGGTATAATAGAAGTTTAAGATGCCATTTCTTCCACTAGCTGACTGAATAAAGCATAAATGCTGGATTATACAGTTTAGAAAATTGTTATTATTTCTAGAGTGTCAAAAGGTATTGGTAAATAACATAGAATTCTGAGTAAAAGGAGGAAATCACAGACAATGAAAACTTTCACTCCTGGGTAGATATTTTGTACTATGATAACTGAAAGAAAAAGTAAAATCTTCTTAAGCTGAAATACTAAATTCTTTCTGAAAATGTTTGATAAACACTAAAAATTAAGTTTGTCTTACATTGCTATTCATGTCTCAATGGTCATCCTCAAGTTTATAGACTTATTCTATCTATCATTGATTTAAGCTTCCTTAAATATAACCTATCATAAGCTATTTTTTCTTAAAGACAGGTCAGATTTGGCCCAAGGTCACACAAACACATCTTTCATCATCTACAAGTGACATTTGCTGAATATTACCATAAGCTACATTTTTAGCATTCCTTCTGGCATACTGAGATTAGATGTGACATTTCTTGTCTAGAATAAAACACAAGGTCAATTCTAAAGAATATAATACTGCATTTTTTCATGCAACTTTGCATTTGCTTATCTATAGGACACAGGCGGTTTGCTTTAAAGCACAGGTATTATGCACCACTTCCAAACACAGGCTACATCCTGCTCACAGGACATTACCATTGTTTTAGCCTATGACAACCTCTGAGCCCTCAGCAAAATCCCTGAGAAAACCCCCACAGTAGAAGAAGACTTCTCCAGCTTCTATTGTAAAAAGGTGAGGAAAATTTTCCTCTCATGCTTGGGGCAGGTGACAGTTGGTTTGCTTCCTATTGAAATAATGTAAAAAAAAAAAAAAAGGAAAAGGTAATATAGGCCTATATAAATTCATGAGACCTATTTTGCAACTCTATTATGAGTTAAATCAGACATTGTATAATTCTAAACATGTATCAATTATTTATAGAAAAGCAGGAAGAAGAATTCTTTGTTAAGTGTATAATAAGAACAATATGTAATGGCATGAATTATTATTTACTTTTTAAAATATTAAAATTTTAAAAATAATGCTAATAAAAATCTACAGTAGTCTTAGGAGCCAGACCTGTACTCTTAACCAGCCTATCCCATCCACTTACCCTGATTCATGCCAATTAATACATGAAAAAGTACTTGAGTTTTGCTTTCTGAATGAAATTTAAGGCTTACAAAATTCAATCATTTTTTTCCCAACTGAACATAAGAATATTTAGTTAAAATCAAGTAAAAAATCTTATGAATTACCATTAATCTTCAGCATGAAGAATTGACCATTAAAAAGTTAAATCTAGTTCTTGAAATGTCTAATGGTATTGAACCACATAGTACAATAGTATCAAAAAATAAATTAAATATACAGTGCTGGATTTATGTGGCTTGGTCCAAGTCTTGTCTAGAAAGGCACACCCAGAGGTGGATTTAGGATCCAAGTTCTAGGCTTATATTTTCCCTAATGCAGAGTATTTCAGATTGATACTTTTTTATTTAAATATTATCTACAAAGAACAAATGTTATTTGGAGAAATTCAACAAAAGATCAATAAATATGAATTTCCTTCTGTCATTGTGATCTGTCTTTGTAAGTATCTTAGAAAGGCTCCTATCTGTGAAAGGAACCTACACGATGCTACATGAACCTTCCCAATTAAATAAAGGGACTGATAATATCTGGATTGAAGGTACAGAGCACAGACAGCTCTTTATATGTATAAGAAAAGCAATGAACCATCTAAGCTAACTCAGCAGAGTGAAAATTTACTAACAAAATGATTGTAGGGACCCATTGATTTGATGGATGGTCTGGAACTGCATATAATAGAGGAACCCGGGATAAAATGGTTCAGGTTTGAAAGCTGTTAACAGACTCCTTTTATCCATCCTAGCATGGATTATTAGCATGAGACAGGCTTCCTGTTTTCTCTCTTTAATGATATTGTTTTATGAACCAATGATTGTTTTCATTTGGAAAATAAGAAAGCATTCATATGTTATCTGAATTGTGTTTTCTTTAGCTATACCAAGGGGATAAATATGCTAATTATGGAGCTTTGAAGAATGCCCTGGGTATGGCTCATTACTTTACTGATGTCAGTGACTATTAGGCCCAGGTGAAGAAAAGTTAATACCAGATTCCTGGCAATATTTAGGTATGCAAACGTTTTGAATTAGAGATGTAATGGAAAAATTCAGTGATGCCATGATACACTTTTACATGGTGATTTTCATATTATATTCTCCAAGGTAAAGTTTAACTTATTATTTGTCAGTTATGAGTTGAGACAATTTACATCAAGCTATTACTTGATTCTTTATAAGCGCAGTTGCTGTGAAAAGCTATCACAGGAATCTGAACGTATTCACAAAATCTTACATGAGTAATGCCTTTCCATAGAGGACTAAAAGACAAGTTTCATAAACATATACATGTTTAAAAACATGTTCCTGAAGATGGCATGACATGGGACACCGGAAGTAACTAAAGCAGCAGAAATGGCAACCAGAAAGAAGAGAGATTTCTAGCTTTAAAACTGGAACGAAACAACGCTCAACATTTGCAAAACATTCCTTTATTATTAGAAATAAATTATTTGTATAAAAATTGCATGCGTCAATCATTGCATTTATTTTGTAGCACAACCCAGGGCTTCAATCATCAGCCATTACAAGAAACAGACTCATAGTCTTATACAAGTTGAACAGTGTGGGACAGGAACAGGAGTTCTCACAATCACAGAAAAATACAAGAATAACATCAGACATGGTTTATTTCAATAGCATTTTTTCACAAGCTAACATTAGTTTTCCTTTTGAGTTTTTTCTAAACTGCTCATGAGTAAGCAATACTTTAGCTTGACACTCATTGGTTGTATTGTATAAAATGGGTTTCTTTGCTCCCAGTATTGATACTTTTGGTTCATGGCTAATTTTTCTTCCTTACAAGACTACTGATCTGATTGACTGTAGTCTGTGGAGATCTCCAGCAGTGAGTTTCTGCAGTCTTGTGTTCAATGCTAAAGAACACACACCACATTTTTTCACATGGTTTCAGCTCCTTGTTCAGATTGAATGATTACTGTAGCTTATGTATGTTGTCTTTGTAGAAGAAGCTGTTGAAAGAAATTGGGACAAATTAATTATTTTTAACATGATTTCAAAACTCATATCCTATAAGCACTACCAGCAGTGAGTTTCTGCAGTCTTGTGTTCAATGCTAAAGAACACACACCACATTTTTTCACATGGTTTCAGCTCCTTGTTCAGATTGAATGATTACTGTAGCTTATGTATGTTGTCTTTGTAGAAGAAGCTGTTGAAAGAAATTGGGACAAATTAATTATTTTTAACATGATTTCAAAACTCATATCCTATAAGCACTATCTTATGCTAATGTTTTTATTACATTCCAATAGCTATTTTAATATCATGTTAATGGTAAGTAGTTACTGAACAGTTCACTTTTGAGCACAGTAACCAGATATCTGCCTCCCAAGTAGCTCAGATTCTATTGCTGCATAACACTAATAATTTGGTTAATAATTAATATAATTAATGTAATGATATTTGATAATAATATCATTATTTGAGCCAGGCACTGAAACATATACTTTACAAGTATTATAGCAGTTAATCTTCAAATACCCTGATGAAGTAAATACTAATATTATTGTCATTTTTATTTTTGGTGTTGCTGGAGATCAAATTCAGGACCTTACACATACTAAGCAAATGTTCTACCATGGAGCCACTCTGTGTTATGAACCTCATGTTCCTAATTATTTTAAAATCATGTAGTAGAAATTCAATGACTATAGAAAGAGAGATGCTGCCCCAATGTCAATCTGTAAAAGTCACTAGTCTAAGGTACTGTACATACCTATTTAGCAGAAACGTGACTATGGAAAATCATAACCATTAGCAAATGTAAGTGAAATTCTATTTAAATTTGTTTTCTGATTAATAGAATTTGCATATATGTAAAACTAAATAACAGAACACATAGATATCCTACAAAATATATACAAAAAAACTCCATTAAACTAAGCCAAAGGCGTTAGCTGCTTTAGCCTGATCCAGCAAGCAAGAAATTAAAATTAGTTGTGCTTTAACAATGTATAAGTGTTCCATTTAAAATAGATCATACTCTAGAAGTAAGAATGCAAAAATCTCAAATACATGCAAGTTTAGGGTAAATATTGGTGTAGTCAATACATATTTGTGGCTTGTTTTGGTTTCATCCAAGGGATACATAAAAATAAAGACACAAAGAAATGAATGAATGTGTAGCTCTTCTGTTGCCAAGTTACTGTGAAATAGCCTTATTATAAGACTATTAGAGAAATACGAATAACAGAATATTCAATGTCAAATTTACATTCATGCTGAAACTTCCCGAGCATATGAATCTTAAAACAAATAATTACTTTGCATAATTCAAAATCATAATATAATTATTCTGTAAAAAAATCAAAATTGATTCTCCCTTTCAGTTAACTACTGGAACAATAATATTTAAAAACCTAAACAGAAGTGGAGCATAGTGGTTCACACCTTTAATCCCAGCACGCAGGAGGCAAAAGCAAGTAGATCTCTGTGCAACTGAGGCCAGCCTAGTCTACATGGCAATTTCTAGGCCATTTGGGGCTACAGGGAGATCCTGTCTTAAACCAACCAAACAAACAAACAAACAACAACAAGGAAACAAACTAAGCATGCATTTCAATACATAAATCCAATTTAGAATGAAAAATATTTGGAAAATATTTAAATATAGTTATTAGACATTGACCATACTAGAAAAAAATTACAAAGAACCTCTGGAAACCACTGACTTGCTCTACTGTAATTGTGGACTATGGTGACTGATCAGCTTATTTTATAGAAAAAAACTCATGCAATCTCTAGTCAATGATGTTAACACAGATAGTCCAAGGAAGTGCTAGATATAAATGGTTCTACTATTTTTTTTTATTGAATAATATGAAGCACATGCCAAAAGTAGTTCATACATGTTCCTATGTAATAGCAGATACATGTTCTTATGTATCTTTATTGTTCACACTCTAGATTATTATTGTGGCATGGCGAAAAAAAGAAGGTGGACTCTGGCTTTAAGTTACACTCTTCTACAGAATCAGTGAAAATTAAGCAGATCCCTGGGCTTCAGCTTCACCAATGCTTAAAGCCTACAGACACCTGGGAGGATAGAGACAATCTGTATTTGTGAGTAATAGTACTTTGGGACTTTTAGAGACATAATATCATTTTTAGAAGAATGATATAGTGTTTGTTGGATGAATACTTTAAAGAAGAGTAATTTAAAAACATGTATACTAAAAGCAACAGAAACACAAAAGGCCCATGATTCGTGTGCCAGAGTTATATTCCAACTCTTACACACTGATTGAAAACTTCTATTACTAAAGCACAGGAGTCTGCCCTTCCCTTACAGGGAAGCCACCCAAGTGAACTAGGGAAAACAGTGGTGACCCAGATGAGATTGCAGAGGACTAGGCTCAGATATCACACATTGTACTGCTGAATGTATAAGCTACCATCAGTTTATCTGAGCCCAATTGATTTAAGTCAACCTACATGCTAAAGACCCCAAAGCAAAATTAACTTTCATTCATACAGTAGATGACATTCTATTGATTTATCTTTTCAACATTCCTTCACCTTCCAAAAGTGAGCTTTGACTCTTCTGCAATATCATAAGCTCACCTTCCATATAGGCTTCATGTTTGGAATCTTTTGTTCTTATTTAAGAGAATACCAAGAAACACACGCTTGCTATGTAACTTCCATTTCAACAAGGAAAGCAGGAAATGTTTGAGACTTGCTTGAGCAATACTAGATTAGTGCTTATTGATACTGGGGATTTCCCTTCTAGGGAAAATTATTTGTTCTTCAAGGCCTATTGAAAAGGCTATTGAATTTTCCTCCCTCTATGTTCTGCAGATGAGTCTGGGATAATGGTATTTATTCCATCGTAATGTTGGTTGTTCCCATTTAAAACCTCATTGTGTTGTTTTCTGGACTGTTACTAAAGCACAGATATAGCAGTAGAGCCAGGTGAGTCATGTCCAAAATCATTGGTGCCAGCAGCAATTTATTGGCATCTACATGGGTTTTAAATTCCTACATTGGTGCTTAAAGGTAGAAAGAGAAGAGAAAATTCTTCCCTCAAGCACTACACAAGCTGATAAGGGAGCACATCAATCAACGGTTCATCCTTAGCTTCAAGGCCTAAAAATCACATCAATGACCAGCACAGCAAATGACAGTGGTGGAGTAGTGGCACTTTTATCTTGGGGGTAATCAACAGCTACTTAATTGAACTTAAAGCCCACTCAAAGGGAGGAAGCTCATGTCTGGAACTGTAAACCTAGCCAAATACTCATAGCTGGAGAGATGATAGATCTTGAAAAAAAACCCCAAGGCTCTCATATCCCTAGACAAATGTAGTTTCTTATTATGTGCAAAACGTGGTTCCTTAAATTTACAGGCAAGGATCCCAGTCACCAACTGTTCTGGATAGCTTTACTGTCAACTTGACTCACCTTGGTTGAGGGAGCCTCAATTGGGGAATTGCCTTCATTGGACTAGCCTGTGGCCATATCCATGGGGCATCTTCTTGATTGTTGAATGATGTGAGTGGTGCCACCCCTGGGAAGGTGGGCCTGTGTTGCATAAGAAAGTAGGCTGGGCAGAGGCCAAGGGAGCAAGTCAGTAAGCAGCGATCCTCTGTGGCCTGTGCTCCAGCTCCTGCCTCCAGGTTCCTGCCCTGAGTTCCTACCTTGGATGAACCCCCTGATGAACTGTGACCTGGGAGATGTAAGACAAATAATCCCTTTCCTCCCCAAGTTGGTAGTGATCAGTGTGTTTTTTCACAGCAGTGGAGAAACAAACTAGGACACCACCCATTAAAGTAGCTTATTTTTCAACAGACTGAGATTATTACAGTTACACCACTGGTCACACACAGAGATTCTCTGTGAATTGCCCAAGTTTAACTGGTACATCTAGGATGCAACCTCTACACCTAAGGCTCACAGAACATAGAACAAGGGATGAAGAGAACACTAATGCATCTTTCAATTCTTATCAATGAAACTCCCTCATGCAACAAGGGGCCAGGAACACAAAAGACCACAAATGGCCAAAAGGCAGAGAAAAAGAGTTTGCAGAGTATGGGTCCTTGAACAGGACTTCTATATTGTGGTCCAACCACCTGGGGCTCAGGGACCATTTGTGGAAGAGGGGGCAGAAAGATTGTAAGAGCCAGAGAGGAGGTGTATGACCATATGGAAATAGTCCTACAGGTGCCTGGGACCCTTCTCATACAAACCTACAGCAATGGTGTCAGCATGCACAAGACCCATGCAAACTTAGGCAGACAAAAACTTAGCACAGTACTGTGTAAATGAACAGCAAGTCACAATCTTAGTTGAAGAATTATTGTCAGTTGATTACTGCTGGGTGAGGAAGAACAGATCTTGAAGGGAGAGACTCTAGACAGGCTGACTGCAGTGGATAAACTTGCACTGAGGGACATCTTGGGTCACTAACTTTTCATAATAGGCCACAATACAAATGAAAGATTGTATGAACTCCAGTGGGAGGACTATGGAAGGGTGACAAAGGTGAAGGAGGATGAAAAATTTAAAAAGAAAAAAATTATCAAACAAGAAAAAATCTAAGGGGCTTGGAGTTTGGTTTGGCGATAGACTAGCTTGTCTATCATGCACAAGGCCCTGGGTTCAATCCCAGCACTGATAAAATAATAAACAAATAAAATTTAAAAATTAAGATCTAGTCAAGACATGGATTTTCACATGGTCTAAATGTTTGTTTTATTTAATAAAAAAATACATACTTTTAAAGGGAAAAAGACACCATCTTTCTATTCTATTCTGATGCCCTTAAGAGCAGTTAAAATACATATTTGGTAAGAGCCAGAATAGTACCATTAATAGCAAACTATTTACCTATATTGGGAGATGGTTATGAGCATTTGTTACTAAACTCCATCATTCTGCGTTTGCTCTAGTAGTTCCACAATGTTGCCCCTTGATAGAGTGGCAACATTGACTAGTGGGGGTTGTTTGGCAGTGTTATTTTTAAGGTTTCTTTCTCCAAAGGAAACTAAATTTGTACTAATAAAATCTTCTTAGAGTCAATAAATATGGGTTATAATTATGATTTAAGCCAATATTATTTTACTTTATTATTTATTTATGCACATTCATGCACATTACGGTTTTTATTGCAGTGCATGTGTGGAGGTCAGAGGACAGTTTGTGGGAGCTGGTTCTCTCCTTCCATCATGTGGGTCCCTGGGATCCAACTTGGGTCATCATGCCTCCGGACAAGTACTTTTACCCATTCAGCCATCTCTCTTAAACCAATAAGCCTAATTCAGAGTGTTTAACTATGTGAAGCCAGCTCTATTCATGGAGCACTGCAGTATAAAATATTTGCCTGGAAATATTAATGCAGCGGAAGTTTTGTCAATCCAGTGAATACTATGAATTTCTATAGCAATTAAGCCAAATAAAATCAATTCTTAGTTTTCTTCTATACTTAGTGTCAAAAGTATAGCAATCAGGGGACAAAGCCCACTCAATGATTTTGAGAGGAAGAAAGTATTTTTATTGTTGGTTGCTTTTGTTTTTATGAGACCAGGTCTTGCTACACAGCCCAGGCTGTCTGTAAATTCACAATCCTCCTACCTCAGTTTCTCAAGTGCTGTGATTACAGGTGTGGAACACTAAAGAGACTATTTATCATTAATTACTTTATAGTTCTATTGCATTCCCAAAAGACTGAAAACCATTATAACATAAGATCTTCAGTTTTGATTTACTTCTTTGATTGAGCTATATAATTAGGTAATGTAAAGTTTGAAACTTTAAAAAACATTTTCAGAATTTAAAAAAATGTATTATTTTTATTTTATGTGTGTGCGTATATTGCCTGCATGTAGGTAAGTGCACCCATGTCGTGCAATGCCCGTGGAGGTCAGAAGAGGTTGTCGGATCCCCTGGGACTGGAGTTACGGACAGTTGTTAGCTGCCATGTGGGTGCTGGGATTCGAACCCGGGTCTTCTGCAAGAACAGCCAGTGTTCTTAACCACTGAGTCATCTCTCCAGCCCCGCATTTTCAGATTTTTTTACAGTACAAATATTTAGATCTCTTTATTCCTTTCCTATGGATACCAAGCTGGTCCTACTTCATCACTTAAATTTTACTGGATTAGCTTGGGTATCAGTGCACTGTTATCATGTGATAGCTTGGGGTCAACTACATAGAAAAGAGAGTTACACCAGGTATGGTGGCACACACCTTTAATCCCAGCACTCCCCAAGGCAGAAGCAGGTAGATCTGTTTGAGAGCAAGGTCTGCCTGATCTACACAGGGAGTGTCAGGCCAACTGGGGCTACAGGGAGACTCTGTCAAAAAAAAAAATAAATGAAAGAGAGAGAGAGGAGATAAGAGAGAGAGAGAGAGAGAGAGAGAGAGAGAGAGAGAGAGAGGAAAAAAGTGGTAGTTGTCAAAAGAATTCTGTCTTTAGGACCAGGAGGTTTTCAAATAAGATCTCTAATTTATTTTTGCATGTTCAAGGAAAATTAAAAGAAGAACACTTTTGAGGAAACAAGTGGTTACAAATACTGATATACACATGTTAGCTATCTTTCTCCTTTCCCTAAAGACCCAAACAACCAGTTATTTCTTCATGCAAGAACTCCAATAGCTTATTTCATAAATATTACTAAACTATTACAATTGCAAACAGCGGCCAATACTGAACCAACAAAATTTGTAGAATAACTCCTAGGTTTCAAATGAGAATTTGTAAACAGGAAAAAAAAATCTAATTTTCAAACTCTATAAAGGAAGAGATGATTGTCACACTGTCAGAGATCATGGGGCAGCTGATACTCTGGAGAACAATCACTCATCTTGAAAATACTTAGCTCTCACCAAATGGTTCTGACTGTTTTGACAGTCTCGGGGGGGGGGGGTACCATCCTGCCTATAGAACCATGTAGCATAGTCCCCAAGATGAGCAGAAGAATGTTCAACGTACATCTATTAGGAAGTGCTCCCGCTCTTGACCATCTGAAAGTCTACAGATGACTTACTGTTGGTTTCAAGACTCTCACAGAGTTCGCTTTTCACCTCTCCATTTGGTCTATCATTTCCTTTTTGGATCAGTTTGCTTTGCATGGTGGCAGCTGTCACCACAGCCTTGAAGCTTCTCTTGCGTTTTTGAACATTCTGCTCTGGATGAAAAATTATAATATAAACCTTGGGCATATAGAGCATTCCCAGAGACACCGAAGCACTTAAACTCATGGAGACAGTAAGTGTTGTTGTCTGGATGTACATCTGAGGGAAGGAGAGAAGAAAAAGAATCATGATTAATTCTGACTTGCAAAAGAAAAAAGAATTAACATACTATTTTCTAAAGTTATTCCACCTTCTCTGCTACAGACACATTCAAAAATACTTACTGAAATTGCCCTTGACTACAGTCAAGTCTTCTTCATCTCAGCCTTAAAGTAAAGGTTAGTAATTTCATATTTTAAAATGTGGTTCCTTCAAACAAATAGAAAAAAAATCAACCAGAAGAGTGGACCTTCTTAATTGTTTAGATGGTAAATGAACTAACTACATAGGGAAAGGGATGACTAACAGGTCACACCGCACCTGCCTTTGACAGAAAGTACCAGTGGGCCAAATGTTTTTATTTCAGTAATACTTAAGCAAAAAGTAAATTATGTAATGTGAAGACATAGAGTAATACAGCATTCTAGATCATTGTCACATACCATTGCTCATGAAACCCTGGTGCTCTCACATCATTGCATGGTTCCAGCCACCAAACCTGACAAAATCACAAACATTCTAAGTCTTTTCTTAAACAGCCTATCATAGAACACTTCTTGAGGCTTATCATTAATTATATCATATCAAAATAAATATAGGAGATTTAACAAGATATGGAAGACCTCTTCCCTGCAGAGTTCAGATATGTATTCTGGCATGCAAGTCTCAGCACCTAAATTTTGAAAATTCCCTTCCTGCGTTCATTCCTTTCCACAATGCTACTGAAATTTGCCAGCTGTCATAGCAGGTTATTTTTAAAAGTAGAAATATGAAACTGGAATGGAGGCATGAGGGAGGGTGTTTTTGAGGTGACATTTGGGGGGGGAGTGAGGAGGTAGATATGATAAAAATATATTGTATGCATGTATGAAATTTTCAAAGAACAAGGAAAAAGTGTTATAGAGAAGGGAGGGCATGAATGTGTAGAATGCGGCAAAGTTCAAACTACAGCCATAAATATTGTTAGGGCATTTGAATAGGTAACCATCATATTTGCATCAGTTGGACCCTGTCAAGTTAATTCAGCCTACAAAAAAAATCTAGAGATCAAACAATCTTAAAATGCTATAATACCTATGTTTATTAGGTATATTTTTAATGTGACTTAATCAAGTTTTGATAAAGCATATACTACTAATACAAATAGTACACAAATACCTGATGGTTAGCTTTAATGATCAAGTTGGCACAATCTAGAATTACCTTGGAAGAGAGTTTCAATGACAGATTGTTTAGATCATGTTGTTCTAAGGGAACTTCTATAAGAGACTGTTCTGATTGTACTAATTGATGTGGGAAAACCCAGGCCACTGTGAGCAACAGCATTCTCTAGGCAGGGAGTCTTGGACCTTATAAGTGCAGAGAGGGAGTCATAGCACAAAAAGACACACACACTCATTTTCTCTGTTCTATGCAGCAGATGTGACCAGTTGTTTCAAGTTCATGCCATCACCTCCTGGCAATGATGGACTGTCCCCTGACTTGTAAGCCTAAAAGTCTTTCTCCTTTTGTCAGGGCATCTCATCATAATGATGGAAATGAAACTAGGACAATTTCTTTTATATTTTAACATTGTAAATTTTCTCTTCTGCCCAAAATATAAATGATAACTTTCTTTCCTTGTTGGGGACTCAAAATTTAAAGTAGTATTATGCTTCATATACGAAGCCCTGCAAAAGGTATCATAATTTCAGATTACATCAAATAACCATCTCAATTATGTGCTCTCTTAAAAGAGCTTTTGGAAAAGAATTGATATGAGTTTAATACAGAAAAGAAGTATCTAATACACACACACACACACACACACACACACACACACACGCACGCACATACATGCATGCAATACCTAAATCCAAAATCTTACAGTGGCTGAGCATTTGTTACTGGGTCCTAGACTATAAATTGACTAAGGTTTTGAACTTCTCATTTAAATGTTTAATTGAATAAACATTATACAAGTCATAACTGCAATAAAAACAGCAGCAAAATTAATTAACAAACAGAGTCACCAGTTCTCCTTCAGAGAAGCTAAATCCCTAGTATCATGAACTGCAAGATTCAGAATATCTCCCATACAGAGGAAGAATTGAGAGATTATATTCAGAGGTTGAATATGAGCAATGATTTCTACTCCCCTAAAATAACCCTTAGATTTTGCTGTACTTATACTACAACTAATTACTGGAGCCATGAAGGAAAGGAACATGCTTAAGCAGACCTAGTATGATTTCTAGTGCCATACACACACAGACACACACACACAACATAAGGAAGTTTAAAAACTCTGGAGTTGACCTGTACATGAGAAAACCTTATCCATATATTTATTCATCCTATAAAATCAGACAATTTTGTTATCAAATTTTTCTCTTTGGCTTTTGATTTATTACCTAAGAAATCGCACATGTAGTATGCAACTAGATAGGCTATTATATCTTTATTTAAAATATAGACACAAAATAATAGCTTAAATATTACTTAGAATATAACTTTGACTTCAATAAGGCACTAACAAAGTCTTGTTCTAGGTATATAGGACAAGAAAAAACTCAATAGCCAATTTTACAAACCAGAGAGTTTTAATGAGTGAAGAGTTAACAGTCATGTTCTGTCAGATTTCCAAGAAAACAAAAGCATACATACTTTGAAGTAGGCAACATAAAATTTTCTTCAAATTCATCTGTTGGCTAATGTTGAGACCATACTCCGTCTAGGTTTCACAACAGCTCTCTTTCTTAAGGTGACAGGTCAACAGGTACAGGAAGGAATTGTATTAGCTCACTCTAGCTGACATATGTCTATCAATAGACACTGACCATAATATTAGGTTAATAATTATCTCTTACCATTCTTCTTAATACTTCTTCCTGCCCTACAAACTCCCATGACCAAGGAAGGGAAGGGTTGTTTGTTTGCTCATTTTTAATCACATCCTCAGATAGCCTGTCATTTCCTTAACCTCCATGCTTTATTGACATTTTGAACCTGTAGCAAATCCACTGAAGTAGATTAAAGCAATCTGTGGATAAGCCAGGAAGGAAAAGATACAGTAGAGAATAATACATGACATATTTTCTGTGACTTGTTACAATCCTCTCTTCATTCTCTGAATAGGTCATTTCCACACATCCAAGGTCATCCAAATGTATACATGACCTAGAATACATGTATTTCATGACCTAAAATCCTTAAAGACTCCAGAGATCTTAAGAATGAAGGGTGGGATATTTTGTTCCTTTATGACAAAGTCAGTCATTCTCTTTGAACAGCTACCTGAATACAGAATTCCATAACTTTCTGACATCTCATCTGCTATTTTTCTACCCCTTAGTAACTAAGGAAATCTACTATGAAAAATCAGAAGCAAAGCGGCTTTATGCTCATCTTCATTTCTCTAATCATAAATGTTGGTCACTATCACACTCTCAAATATACCAAGAGACTCTGTATCCGAAGTAACATGGCGAGCCATTAAGGCATCAAGGAAGACATTCTACATTGACTTCTGGACTCCACAAGCATGCAGGCACACAAACACATGCCGCTAGATGCACACATTGTGCACTCACCTACATGAACACACCTATACACCCCTCCTACACACATCACATGAGAAGAATTGAATGATGAGACTATAGTATATGAATTATAATGAATTCTCAATCATAAATCAGTAATTCTCATTTTCATAAAATAAATTCCTCTACTTAAAAACAGATTATTAGGCTAGGCGTAGTGACACACGCCTTTAGTCCAAGCATTCAGGAGGCAGAGGCAGGTGGATCTCTCTGAGTTCAAGGCCAACCTGGCCTGCATAGTGAGGTCCAGGCCTGCTGGAGCTACAGGGAGACCCTGTCCCAAAAATGCAAAAAAAACACACAAAAAAAACAAAAAAAAACAGCCAAACAGATTATCATTTCTGAGTTTAAATTACATTCTAATACAGATAAACATATATAATATTTAGGAAATATAAATATAGATAAACATAGATCAGCAAATAAACTAAACAAAAAATTTAACTAAATGAAAAATAGGATAGAGAGGTAAACACAAAGGTAAGCTAGAAACATAATCATAAGATGGGACAAAATAGAAAAAGTAAAAACATCACATTATAAAATGATGATGCTCAGCAAACTGCCACAATGTAAAAAGCAACAATAATAGAAACATAAATAAATCAAAAATGAGCATGAAATTTTAATTTGTTTTAGAGATTTGAAGGTAAGTGCACAGCATGAAATTAGAAATACAAACAATTTAAATAAGTCAAATAATTAAACTCCCATTTCCACCACATTAAAATATCACTAGACTCATCACAGAATTGATCGCGAACTACAATACCTGAAAACAAAACAGAAGTTTCCAAAACAGAAAATTTCCCTCACCTTAAAAAATCAATACGATTATTAGAAAAACAACTAGTAAATAAATACAAGTTTTTATATTAGTAGCTACATAATATCCTTATATACAATTTGTGTGGAAGTAGAAATTACAAACTATATAGAACTAGGCACTATGATAACAGTGTATGTGCAAACATTTGTACAGAACTTAAATGATGCTTAAAAACAATTGACTCTAAGCTGGGCGTGGTGGCACACGCCTGTAGTCCCAGCACTTGGGAAGCAGAGGCAGGCGGATCCCTGTGAGTTCAAGGCCAGCCTGGTCTACATAGTGAGTTCCAGGACAGCTGGGGCTACAGGGAGACCCTTGTTCAAAAAAAAAAAAAAAAAAAAAAAAGACTCTAAAATGAAAATTTCAAGAAGTAAAAAAGTCTTAAAATTAGCCATGAAGCTAATCAAAGTTAATAATAAAAAGTAAACTTAATAAAAAAGAAGGAAGGAAATGCCTGGCTCTAGAACAAGAAATCAATGACATAAAATTGTTCCACATAATCAATAAAGCCAATTTATATTCAGTGATATCTGATCAAAAGAAATAAGATACAACTGATCAACACAGGAGTGAGAAAGAAGATAGACATA